CAAAAAAACGGACTCGCCATATTCCAACTTGTCCAAAGAGATTCTCGATCCAAAAGGTGGCGTGTTAACCAGCGCCTGGAGAAGTATAAGGACGGAAAAAGGGCCTCAACGAAAGCGAGCTGAAGGGACTGTAGCTAGGCCTGGTATAGCAGGATTCTAGTGACTCTAGTCTTGTTTCACTTGCATCAACACTGGGGGTAAGATGTGTCGTGGACGATTCTACCAACTCAGGGTGGGTACCATTTTGTTGACACGTTGCGTGGCAAGCCATGAGGCCTGAAAGTTTAAGGGGGGCACCCTTGCGCTTAGACATTGCGCTGTCCCCATCACAGACCAGCGGAAGGAACAAAGGGCAAGCCCGGCCTGGACTTTTCTAGTTCATTTTCTGTAGGAATCAAGGGAGTAGAAAGGGAACTAGAATGCTACTGAACTTTGTTGGCTACATAGAATCTGGCAGGGCCGACAGTTTCAAGAAGCCCCTGCAACCAATACGCCACGGACAACCACCTTATTCTCAGCAGGTCACAGGAACGAACACCTTGAGCTTTTGGAGGAATCCTGCAAGCCAGCAATCAATAGAAGCCCAGGACCAGGGGCGCTGTTTGGCACGGTTTTATCGAACCTCGGCGAAGACCTATCGTGTGGGGGTCCCAGCTGCTCGTTTTACCACGCAGCGACTCCTGTGGCCCCAGGCCCAAATGAAGCGGGACACGATGAAGAGCCCCAGAATGTGTCGGTCATATGCTCCTGAGAGCTCCTGCAACAGGGTCTTGAATCGAAATATCCAGTTGCAACGAATGAACCGCTAGAAAGGCAAGCCTCCTTGGGGGTTGGTTGTCTGTGGAGGGAAACACGCCAAACAGAAAGGGAAACGGGAGCCACTGAACAACTGACATATTTGGGGGGAGTGGTTGGCTGGGGTTGAGACAAGCTCCCACGGAACTCAGCCCACCAGTGCCTCGATCCCACCCAAAACACATCAACTTTTAGGGGCCCCCTGTTTACAAAAGCCAATCACTATGGTAACCCAGCCCCTTCTGCGACAAACCTACATGTGTCCCGAGCAAAAAAATAAATCCCACCAATAAATCGGGAACTGGTGATCGGAAGGTAACCAACCCCCTCTGGGAAAAAGAGCCCGCGCATGAAGCAAACATGTACCCCCCGCTCCTGGGATTTTCATGTCTTCGTTTGAGCTCACATTCAGCACATGCAGCAATATGTCAAGACCAGCGACCTCGCCACATGGTCAAATTCGTGTCAGCATATATAAATTCAAACTGTCCCCAAACGAATCCCCAGTGTTCACATATAGCCATGCAACCCCAACGGCGGTCACTTTGAGGGTCGATTGTCCGGGCTGGCCCTCTCCGAATCCACGGAAGGCCGAAACCAGTAGGCGCCTCTGCTAAGTTGATCTCCACCAGCAGGTTGAGCATGGCTATGTTGTAGAACCTGTTTGTCGATCGGCTTTATTCTGTCCAAAGCAAGTCAATCACTTTCGATCCGGGTTTTGTGAGGGGGGCTTTCCGCTTGTTGCCACTGTTTGGCATGGAACTGCCCGACTTGTTCGGCAAAGGGGGGGTCAGCACGTTAAAAGCCGCAAATCGTGCGAGACTTCCACTTAGTCAAGCGATTTTCCGAGGCATCCACGCATTGTTTGAGCTTTGTCCCCAAGGCAAGCCATTCTCATAGCAGGCGGGTGCTTCCCTTGTGTCCTGGATGACAAGAACCTTGGAGGTCTGTGAGTCTTGTCCGAGAGACCCTGGCATTGAGTTGATCTCTGGTCAGGGTGTTGAGGACGAAGTGAACTCTGCAAAAAACGACGGGACGAATTCCAATGCTTGGCATCAGTGCTGACGAACCTCAAGCAAAAAGTGCTGATCAATTTTCAAAGCACAAGCCACCCAACAACTAGCAGCTGAACCTCGGAATGCCAGGCCTGAACAACACGGGATCCCCAGTCAGGGGTTAGCACATCTCAGCGCCGCACGCGGTGCAGGATGCCCGGGCCAGTGCTTCGCACAACCTCGCGCACAATATAAATGGCGAAATGGCGTGCCCAAATTGCAGTTCCGGTGCCAGGAATGCGCAATTATATATCCCTTAGATTGAACTCCCTTTCACAATCTGGGCAGGAAGCCTTTCCGTCCCGCCGTCCCGCCAAGCGAACAAAGCCATGATGGCTACTTGTTACGCAGCAAAGCAAAAAAAGACAAGGCTGTTGTACCATGCAAGCTGGCGGCTTTCCCTGGCAACGCTGATGAATTGGTCGACCTCAAGATGGATACAAATCAGCTCATGCTAAGCGTGTGGCTTCATGGCAAAGGTGCTGTAGGTCAGCAAGCGGCCATACCTTGCGTGGTGCCAGTTGTGGCGCAAACGACATGCATGGCTTGGAAACTTCCAATTTGACTTGACTGGAGTGGAAAGGGCAGTATGACATTGTCTCTCAGGGAGTTGACCTCAGGTTTCGTGCTAATTCGAAGGAAATTTGCAGCATAATGCATTTTGGAGTGCGCAAACACGTTTGCGTGCCCTGCATGGAAACTGTTAGTGAGATCTCCCTGCTTCGGGAAGGTTAGCGAATTCCCCGGGTTGCTCAGTGCTTGGCGAGGGTTTCGGAAGCCCCATCGATCTGAGAAACATGTCTGGGCATTGGATTCCCGGTGCTGATTTCTCAGCCCATGCCCCCAAAAGCCACATGCCAAATGCTAAAGACCCTCATGAAACGGCACAGGCCGCTGCTCAAGTCAATGGCCTGTGCTGCAAGCTTCGTGGCCTGCGTTACCATGATGCTAACGCATAGCTTTGATGCCGAATTCTTCACTGGGCATGCTCTGCGCCAAAAGGCGGCAAGCTGAAGTGCTGTTGCGAAACAGTTGTGGACCCTTCTTGCTGCTGTTAGCGCTGTCGAAGTTGCAGCCGCAGCGGCCTGTGCAATAACTATGTGCGTTGCTGGCACCGGCTGCAGCGGCGGCTGTAGTAAGAGCTGTAGCGAGGGTGATGTTCATGTAGTGTTGGCAATGGTACAGCAGCTGCAGCTGCAGTGTCGCTGCTGGTTGTGCTGCTGTGAATTCCTGCTCCTGGACTCCCTAACCCGCACGAGGCTCGCACATCCATTCATCCTCCCCCAACGGCTCGTACGTCTGGGCCTCCTCCTTGCAAAAAAGCAGTCCGTGTTGCTCGGTCTAATTCCCCCTCTTGCATTTTTCCTTCACCTCCTAAACAAGCAAGAGGCTTAAAGTTTACGTGCCTGGAGAGGCGCGCAAACAAAACACCCCTACAAACAGCCCCCCCGAGCCGCCAGCAGTAAAAAAACATGCCCAGGTTCCATTTCTGGTACGAGTAGCACTTTTTCCGCAGATCAGGTTGAACCTATGCCCGTCCTCCAGGGTGCGCGTGGTTCGCATCTCGGGCTCCGCCTGGGCTGGCCGATTTCACCGGCGAATGGCGTAAACGCATCCAGGCCCTGGCCCCGCCCTAGAGAAACTTGGAGCACTAAAAATGCTGGGAATTCGGGAAGACCACAAAATAAGGTTAGGGCACGTATCCCTCTCCATCGCCATCAAGGCCTGCCTGGCAGGAGTACATAATCGCATATTAGATAGATAGATAGATAGACTGACAGATTGATAGAAAGACAGACAGACAGACAGACAGAAAGACAGACAGACAGATAGATAGAAGGACAGTGCGATACAGATGGAAAAACAGACAACTAGATAGACAAATAGATAGATAGGACAAACAAATAGATAGACAAACGGGCAAATAGATAGATAGATACGAATATAATAAGTATGCACACACCCATGTAGACCTAGCTTCTCCCGGTTGAAGGGAACGCGGCGTAACTGGTGTTCTGCAGCGGCCACGAGGCTGTCAGCTGGGCCCCCTGACATAGACCACCTTCCCCTGACTGGAGTACCAAAACTCCCTGCGCACCTGGCAGAACTTCACCTCCCCAAGGGTCCCATAGAGGTATCTCCTGGTTTTGTGGGTTCCATGTCATTGTGAGTTCTATGTGAAATTTGTTGGGGAAGTAGATGTTCACTTGTCCTCGGCAAAACAGCTCTCGCTTTGAATTAGCCTGAAAGGTGATGACTTAAATTCACCGACAAGAGGAAAGGGACCCTTCCCTTCCTTTTCGGGGCCACAAAAGAGGGCCAAAGGTGGCATGCTGAATCCATCGAAATAACCAGCCACTTCATAAGCACTCAAGCTCCGTGACCGCATAAAGGAACTCAGATCCTCAAGTGAATGCAGAGTTTGGCACCTACCATCCAAACACACCCCAAAAGCATCTCGGCCCATCTGGTTTTGAGGATGCCCTTCTTGGGGCTGGTTTAAAGGGAACTCAAAGGAGCTGGCTGACTCACGGTGCAGGGGATCCCTGAGATCTCTGACAAACCCATCGGGCCTTTTTCCCCACCTCTTCTTGGCATGCCTGGTGCTCATGGCACTACACGAGTGCAAAAGATCAAAGAACCGCCGACAGAAGCCGGGAGCCCAAGGATTCGGGGCTGATGTTCTCGGTTTTCATCGTGTAGTACCGGCAGCCTTGCGTTGCAGATAGTATGGACAACGGGCGCCATCAGACTAGATGCGCCACGGAGAGCGCTGCTTCAGCCGCACTAAGCATCCCCCAAGGCATGTGAGCCGTACAAAAGTTTGCAAGATACCAATGAAGCCTCGCAATCCATCGGGGATCCCAGGCGTCCATGTGTGCGCGAAAATTGGCGACCGACTGGCAGGCTCTTGAAAAAGAAAGTTGGGTGCCTTTGCACACAAAGGAAGGCGGGTGCCTGAGCCATGCATCCAATGCAAGACATGTTTCGGCGACGCCGATCAGCTCAGCACAAAAGGGGGTAGCCATGTTGTCCATAACACGCTACCGCGGCTTGCAACATATTTGCCCCTGCTTTAGCTTCTCTGGCCCGACCGGGACAAATGCAAACGCATCCGAATGTCTGAATGCGTGGTGTGCACGCCCGGTCTTAGCGGGCAATCATCTTCCGCAGGTTCCAGCCCACAAAGACCCCGCTCATCCAGGACGCCACTGCGATCATCACCTCGGCAAGTCGGGCAAAGCGCTGGCTCCCAAGAACTGCGCAGCGCACGTGGGGCACCATGTTGGAGTCAAAAAAACACCAAACAATTTTAATTGTTGTCTTGTGCTAAGAAGCCTGGACAGGCAATCTGCTCCAACCTACTTTACATGCCCACTTGAGCGTCCACCCTCCGACTGTGAACAATGGACATTTCGCCCCCATGCAACCCGAGATGCGACCATCTTGACGGTCTTGTCATCCCAGTGCAAAGGGCAAAGTCTGAAGAGCAGCGATTCCTCAACCGGCTTCTTCTGGACGCTCGCCTGGTAATCAAACTGATTGGGCGTTTCTGCTGTGCGCTGCATTCTGTGTATATCGCCTGCTATATCGGGCCCAATGCCTCAATTTCCAACTGCGGCCCGCACGACCAAGCTCTTGCCCTTCATGAAGTTGCTGTTGGAAGCCGCACCTGCAAAGGCCAAATTCCACAAGTGGCCAGAGATTAAGAAGCTTCAGAGCGGAGCTGCATGTGCGCTGAACACACGTGGGTTCCAAGCACCAGGAAGACGGGATCAGAACCAAACGCAAATCATGATTGTCATCGAACAAGTCTGGCAGGAACTGGCTCGGACAACTTTACGCCCACTCCAGCATCGTATCCAGCATGTGGTGGCAATCCAAACGCCTGCCAATAGAGTTTGGCCTTTGGGGTGGACTCCATAACTTTGCTTGTGATGTTCCTACAAATGAATTTGGGTGTGGCCTGAAATAAAGGACCCTGGATGTTTTGAGAGGGATCGCCAGAAAGGAAACCGCAACAATTTCCAGTGGTCCCCATTTCAGGACCGAAATTCCGGATTTCGTTCATAAGATATTTTTGCGAACGTGGAACTCAGGCCCCAGGATGGTCCAAACCAGCCTTGCGCCGGCTCCTTCTCTGTCTTGGTGATGCCCATAATGGAGGCCATGGGGCAGGTGCCTGCGACTTCCGCCCAGAGTGTGCACTCCAGGGAGGTCCCGTCACAATGAGGGACGCCAAATCAGTCTTCTGATGGGGGACTCACCTGGAAGTTGAAAATGGGGTCCAATCCCAAAATGAGCTGTGGTTTTGGTCAATCTTCGGAGTCCCGCCTGATTATTTGATTTCGAGGCAGGCTCGGGCAAATTTGAACCATTATTTCATCAGCTTGAACAACCTGAAGGCTTGGATCTGGTTTCGAAGCAAATCCTGCCCAACCCCAGCCCAAGTTTGACTTCTTCATGACGAGTGGCCCTGCTTTCCGGAGATGGGGCACCGGTCCCCATCCTTCGCCTCCGATCCATTTGCAGCTGCAGGCTCGGACTTGCCGGCGCTTGCCACAGAGCGCTTTCCTGGGAGGGACGGCCAAGAAGCCTGGATTGTTCAAATGCTTTCTTTTTGGTTTGGGTTGGGACCGTCCCCGAGGGGTTGTTCAAGACGCCGGGGGACGATTTGGAACAGCCCTTTGCTGACATCAAATGTGCACAGGGGCCGGGGTTATGCAAGTTACAATCGTCGGTCGGCCTGAAGGCCCCAATGGGAGCAACCTTAGCGACGATTTATTCGCTGCTTCGTAGATGAAACCATCAGAATTTGCCCAAACTCAATCCACACAAACAAAAAGTATATTCTTGGCCTGGTATGATGCTCCGGAGTCATTCACTGCTGGTGCGGTGGCAGGAAGGCGGTTTCTTAGAGTTCGGCCAGGTGATCCTGAATCACTCTTTGAATTGGGCACGTTTGGATGGACATCCTTTATGTGGGGACTTTGCAGGGGCCCTGCTGAAATCTGAACGACTCATTGAGAATCTGGATGTTCAAGGGAAAGCCAAAAGGCCACCGACACATCATCTTTCGGGCCCAGGGCGGCCACCCCTTGCCGAGTGGCTCAAGCCCCCTGCTTCCTCACCGGCGCCGTCGCTGCACAGCTTCCCTGAGGCATACCCCCAAGCCTGAAACCCTGAAAACGTGTCCCCTCCCTTAAAAGGAGCTTCCTCTACAAGTAGTAATGCCTTTGATTGGGGCTACAGAGGTTGACAAGACTCGTCTGGTAGATCTCTCTTCTTTCGGAAACGCTGAAAATCCGCTGCTGTCAGTGTTTGAAAAAATGGGAATGAAACGGCATGAAGGATTCCCAAGCTGCTTTTGCAGGTCCCACATTTTCTGCGGGAGTTGTGTCCAGGATCTCGGGTGCCCAGAAAAAGGGCTTCGCGGGAGGGGCCCATCGGATGTGTGCCCAAGACCTCCGACTTCCCTTCCTCGCCTGCCAAGGGGTACTTTTCCTTCAGCCGCTCCCGCCAGTTTTTGAGCGCCTCCTCGTCCTCTGCGGAATCCGGGGTCCACCTGAGGCGTCAATGGCACCTAAACACTAAACTGCACATGCCCTCAAAGGAAAGGTCCTTGCCACAAGGGCTGGCGAGGCCCCTGTTAGAAATTTTTCACATCGAGAAAGCATGAACTTGGGGTAGCTTACATCACTCACGACCACTCCGTTGGAGGATGCTCGATGGAATATGGCAACCAACAAATGATGCAATGATGCTCGAATGATCCGGAATAAGGGCCACCGGCCAACCCAGCTCTTGGAAGTGTCCCAGGAGCCCCCTTGCTCAGAGCTCGGTGGAATGATGAAGTTTCCGCTGGGGACTACCAAAAGGGCTGACCGAGAAACATGGTTTCTACAAACGTTTGCTTGCCTGAGTGTAAGCATGGAACTCCGGGGTAAGGTCTGCCAGGGGGCCCATCTCAGTTTGCAGGCTTGTGTCGATTCTACCATCCTTCTTGCGGTACTCCTCCGCTTCTTGTTTTTCTTTTCTTTTTTTTTGGGGGGGGGCATCCAATCCTCATCTCTCTTTGCCGCTTCCGAATTCTGCCTGAGGTCATCCAAGTCCTCAGGGTCCAGGCTCATGGTCGCTAGGCACCGCGTCACATCATGGCCGGCCAGCACCTCACTGTGAATCACTGCGGACCGCGGACTTTGCCTGTTTCGGCCTTGACCTAAATTGAAAAATCCTGCCAAAAAACACAAACAACAGGTCATAATTTATGAGTCATAATGTGTGCGCTTAAGTTTTAATAGAACTGAGACGGAAACCCAGTGGACCACTTGACTTAACGAGTTCTTGGCCCCCTAACCTTGTACAGAACAAGTTAGAACGAACTTGGGGGCCTTCACCAAACAAAGGCACAAAGCGACAAAGAATGGCCTTCACCAAAATAATTTGACGTTAAGTCCCCTGTACTCATCCATTTTTGACCCACTTCCGTGCCAAAGGGCGGAGTACCCGCCGCCGGGGCCATACATCTCGCGGCCAGCGCTCACATCCAGCAGTTCCCCGGCCAGCGAGATCAGGATGCGGCCCCCGTCCTCGCCCTTCAACTGGCTCAACTCCTCGCAAAATTCGCGCAGTGTGCCGGTACCATCTTAGGTGATCTTTTAGCTTCGTTGAACACAGATGGCGCCGGATTACTTTGTTACTATAGTCATTGACCAGTGCCGTGGTTGGTTCCTCTTTGCCGGACACCTATGTCGCAAATTGGTTGGCGGGTTTCATGCCCCAGTTTACTTTCAATCATGTCCCTACATAAGTTCCCAGTTCGTAAAGGTACTATGGGTACTTCGGCGTTTACATGCGCATGGACTGTTTGATGGGAAACACCCTCCAAAATGGTAGGTGCCTGAGCTGCAACATTCACATGCAACTGAGCGTGAGCTCCTGCTCTCAAATGGCTCTGGGCAAATTATGATGTGGTCCCTGAGCGGGCACTACGAGCTCATCCAGAAAAAGAGTTCTTCAGGAGGCATTGTCTCATGTCCAATTTGGGAGTTATAGAAACTTACCTAAATGGTTGGATTTTCCCATTTCCTCTTTCAACGGCGTCCCGCAAATTTTCTCGGGTTCTGCAACCACTCAAATCGACCCCCCAAATCTTCTTCTACCAGGGTCATTCGGAAACCGTCACGTTCTCACTCCTCTTTGTTCAACTATACGGGACTGGCGGTCAAAGTAGCACGCACCTCTGAGACAGAATTAGGCTCGATGGCGAATGATGGGACATGATAACAAACGCACGCGCATCACACAGGCATACATGTTCATACATGTGTCCTGCAAACGCATTTGTTTCCGCAGTGCCAAACTCCAATCACAACCGCGTATCCTGGCCGAAAACATGACTGGGATTTGTGTTTGAGGAAGTTGGCTGCCCCTCGCTAATACGGTTGTGTTTGCACACCAACCGGCTAATTGAACGAAATAGTTACGCGGATTTGATTTGATCCCTTTAGACATTGGAAGGGAACCTCGTTTTGCACTTTTCACCTCGTGTCTCGTCAATCTAGGCCGGTGTTCCCCCAAAAAAGGGAGGATCCCCTGGGAGCCCTCGCACGTGATCAAGACTTCAGTGTCTCTTTTGAGATCGCCCTCTTCATTTGAGAGCCAACCCTCCCATCCTGCAAGTTGATCTCCAGCTGCTCCTCGCAGGCCTTGGGTCGCTCCCCTGGACCTTCGGCCTGCGACTGCTTGTAGCTAGCGCCCTTCGCCGGGTTCAGATCGAACACCTCCATCCGGGATCAGGCGTGCCAGAGCCAAACAGGTGCTCAGATCCCCTGCGATGCCCGCCCCGCTCTCACAACCCTGTTGAAAGAGACTTGCGGGGTGCCCGCAAGGAGTTCAGCGAAGGCTTCGCCGGGCTGCTTTGCTCACCGGGCAGAAGATAAAAACTTGCTAGGGTGTCACATTCTCCAATGATTGACACACGGTCCGGTTGGCTCAGGGGTGCAACCAAAGGCGTCGACAGCGATGGCTGATTGTTGCCTCGCCTCTTGCATCATGGCCTCCGTATCCCCATAGACGCCTTGGTAGGGGTTGCAATGACATGGGGAGGTGCCAAAAGAAAGAAGCCCCCCCTAAGGCGCCCTAAGGTGATTGAAAGCAAAAGCCAAAAGGATGCCATCCATGGGAAAAGCAGCAGGTAGAAGCAGACATGACACCAACATGTCAATGTAGACTTGTAGGCCCTGTACGCAACCAAGGGGGAAGGAAATTCAGCGGTGCCAAGCTCATGCGGCGTGGCCCTCTTCTGGCCCATCTCCGCCTGTTCTCTTTTTTTGGCAACTTGGCAAGCGAGCTATCAGCCCAGGATTAATGAACCCTTATATAACCCATGGTTGATTCATGAGCATCGTATAGCGGAGATGCTCCACTTGCAACCCATCGGGGTTCTCAATAAGACCCCAAGAAGTGATACACTCCTCGAAGGCAACTCTGCGCCAGGGCACGCTTCATCACCCGCAGCATCATCTGCCGCGTGTCCTCATCGATCTCCAGGCGGTCGAAGTCCTTGAGGTACTGCTGTACTCTGGCGGGCTCCTGGTCCAAACGCCAGAAGTCACCAGCCGTAGAGAATAAATTGGATCTGTTTTTTTGGGGGGCTGGGTAGCCATTTCAAGTCGAAGTAGCTTGAAAGGGTTACATTTTGAGGGAAACCACCAAGCATAAAGACATTGGAATCCACTGAGAATGCCCCAAAGGCATGCTTTCAGAGGAGGGCACGCCTGAGTCTGAAGATTGGCAGTGTTCCAAGCAACCCCCAAGAACTCGAGAGCCCCTCAAAGTGTTCACTTTGGCCCAGTTTGGCCGCGGTTTCTCAGGCCTTGCCGGGCTCCACGTTTTGGAAGGCGTAGAACTTCACCCCTGGGGCGCCTTTGGGCACGCAGAGCTTCTGGCAAACCATCTCCCCCAGGTAGGAGCCACCACTCAGCACCGCCTGAAAGCATCAAAACCCCAATCATCGCCCTTGGGCATGCTTGTTAAGCCACTTCAATACCAGCTTTTCATTGCGACCCAAGTTGAGCCCCCCAAAAGAGTTGCCGTGTGTCCGTTTCTCCCATGGCCACTGGAGGTCTGGGAGGGGGATGCTGGGTCAGCAACTGAAACCTGCCAAAGCATAATCAGAACCCTGTGCACATGGGTGTCTCAAAATTATGGACACCTCTGGGTACTTGGTTTCTTGTTGGCTTCCCTTTAGCTCCCTCAAAGGAGGTTCCCCATTTTCAGACAGCCCCTATTGCAACTACAAACAAACTAAAACTATGTATGTCTATAGGGATGGTATAGATAGCAATCATCCCCCTGCTGTGGCCGGCTCCCTGGTTCCCCTCGTTCCCTTCAACAAACTTCAAGCAGGGCGCGTTGTACTGGAGGAAGTGGTGGGCCAGCAGCGCGAAGGGATGCTCCGCGTCCTCGCGGTCTGGCTTTTCTCTCATTGGTGCTTTAGATGGGTGGTTTGGGGTGAAGAAACCCAAGCAAAACTGGCGGATTTGCCTGGCGGTTTGGTGTTGGGTGAGGCAACCCTACAAAAACACGGTGGTTTAGCGGTGGTTTGGTGGTTCATCCCCGTGAATTCTCCCTTCACGGGACTTGAAGCTGGGCTTTTGAGCATGTCCTTCTCGAAAGACTGCAAGTAGCGCTGCGTGGCCTTCGAGTCGGCGCTGATCTTCTCCGCCTCCTGGTGAGGCTTGAACCTTACCCCTGAGATCTGTCAGAACAGATTGCGTACTCGCTTTCTGCTTACTCCTCAAAATTGGAAGCCACTGGAAACAGAATGCCAACTTACAAATCTCCTTCACAATTATATTGCGCCGAGCCAAACACACAAACCGACCGTTTGGTTTCAAAACTGGCCCTCCCACAAACGCAAAAGGGTCCCATACACGCAAAAGGTACTTTAGCAGGAAACCTCACTTGTTCCAGCAACTTTGAGACCAACGGGACACAAAGGGCCGGTCCTCTTGCCAGCTCTCGCCCAGGAATCGTTTCAGGTCCATCTGCAAAGCCTCCAGGCGGCACAGCGAAACCTCGTGCACCACGCCTCGGCTCTTGGCTCGGCTCGGTCGACTCGGCTCAGTCGGTGTGCCCGTGAACTGGAGTCGTGCCCAAACGTGGGCGAAGAAACGGGATGCCGCGCAAAAGTGAAGTAAGGCCACATACAAGCGGGCGTCGTAAGTCACCCCACGTCGCGTTAAGTCACCCCAGCCATCCCCAGCCGCTTGGAACTACGCATATCCGTTTAAGTCACCCCATGCGTTTTAAGTCACCCCGTTTTTGCAAAACACAATGGGCACAGAACTGGAAGGGCGATGTTGCCAACCCCAAGGATTCACCGCACTGCACGCACATGCTCAAAACTCACTGGTTTGGGTTCATTTTGTGGGGCAAAACCCTATTGGGCACACTGCAATTAAAGGGCTCCTATCCTTCAAACATAAATAGTGTTTTCTGTTGGTTCCCCCGGAACACCCGACAAAAGGGCTGCCGGCGCGAGTGCCGCGCGACTCTGCGCAAGTGCCGCGCGAGCGCCGGGTGAGCCGTGCCTGCCCTCATCCCAATGAACATTTTGCATGCGCACAGCACAGAATTATGCGATTTCAGAAAATGACATGCTTGAGACAACTATCTTTACATCCACAAACACAACGGGCACACTCACCCGGGACGACTTAGATCAACCCGGGACGTCTTACAGCACTTACCCTGTACGTTTAAACAAGCCCAAGGACGGCCAGAAAAGAATCAGCCCCAAAAATTGGAGTCCTCAAACTAGTATCGGATTTTTCCATTTTGCCATGTAGCCAACTCAATGGAGTTTCCCAATTGGGAAGCCACCCCCCCCCAAAAAAAAAAAGGGCATTCCGTGAGATTCTGGATTTCCTGTCAGAACGAAGGGCGGGTCTGGCATGCCTTGGTCTTCCCTGGAAAAGTTGGCTGATTTGGCGATCCCCCGCAGTCCTAGCAATGAGGGGCAACTTGCTGGGTTGCTTTCAGAAAAGCTGGGATTTGACTCATTGGAAGTATGTTCACTAGCTAACTCGCTGCCTATTGAGATAGGTTCACATAAACATCTACACCGCATCTTTGCAGTTACCTCCAAATGCTCGCTTTTTTCAGAACGCTTGGAAAAGTGGCAGCTTTGCGTTCGTTCGGTGTTTGCCAACAACTTGTGTTGGGCGTTGTAACGTTGCCAGCCGCCAACCCATGCAATGCCAAGGTGCTCAAAGGCTTCGACTGGGCGTCAATCTTCGCTTCCAGCGCCTCCGCACAAAACTGTCTTGAACGTTTATGGATGCAGTAGCCGGTTTTATGGCAGGTCAGCTGGCTCTGGGAAGCCGGACCGTGGCTCACAACATGGGGTGACATTGGTACGCCTTTGTGCGACCTTTACAGCCCAGCAGCCTGTCAATCACGCAAACTGGAGTGACTACAGGCCCTTTTGCGGCTAACCATAGACCACAATGTTGTATTGCGGGCTACTTAAGGCTCAAATAGCGGCCAATGTTTGATCATGCTTCGGGCAAGGTTCTCTCGAGCGCCACAGGGGGGCCTGGCTACGACCCATGGCGAGCAAGCCTGGAAGACTGCGCGATTGAGAGCAAGCCATGCGGCGTACTGCTTCAAGCTAAACACCTGCTTGTAAATCATCTGCATCCTCGGCTAGCACAAAACATAAGCTGAAAGTGACTGAAACAATTGAGCCACCTGGCGCCGTTGTCCCATGTTGTCCCTCTTGGTTGCCACTTCCCGCTTGTGGCTCTGAGTCATGCAACCCCTCCCCCGAACCCTTCCCCTTAAAGAGCATTACCCAAGCTTAGTAAGGCTCAACCTTAAAGAAGCCTAAGCCAATAGACCGAAAAGCCAAACTCAGGCAAGGCTCCAGGGATGGTCCATGGACTTGTCATGCTCCAGCAGGGTCTTCTGCAAAAACCACTTGGCATGCCCGTCTGATCCTAAGGCACGCACGCGCGTTGCTGGAGCCACCTTCGCACATGTTCGCGTCCCATGCTAGAAATCATGCCAGTCAACGTCCTAGGTGCTTTTTGTCGTTGTTTTTCCGTGTCACTGCTCCAGAGAGACCAGTACTCAGCCCTGTAGTCACAACTAAGTGCCTTTCATTGTCAAAACGCTTCCAAACGCCGACAACTTGCCTGGAATCCACTCCGCGCGCTAGTCTCACAAAGGCGGAACTACCGGCCTTCCAACACTATATCGAAGTACCAACACTGCATCTCCATGAAAGGAGATCTGCGAGGTATTTCAAGTAAGCGGGTGTATGCGGGTGCTACAGCCCCTCCTGCATGTGTTGTGAGCTGGAACTTACTTACGCTTACGCAGCAGATTGCTTGGTGTTGTATCACGACGTTGAGATTGCCTGTTAGTTGGACACACAGCGCCCACATCATTTGTGGAAAAAGCTGCAGAGATCACACGCCCTGCGCTCCCCAGTGAGAAGATCATCATGTGCCCCTTCCCATCCCATAGGTGTGTCCCACACATTGGGAACCCCCCTCCCAAAGGCCCCCAGCACAGATGGCGTAGAACCCGCTAGCATCCGCTAGCATTTTTGAGTTGGTGCCACCGGCCCTTCGGCCAAGGCACTGGACAAGGCACCGTACTTGCTCATGGCACGAAAAGCCCCAAGGGGCCTCCTTGGCATTCAGTGCGCGGCACCCGCGGCACCCACGCCAGACATTGCCGTGCATTGCGCCCATACACGAATGCATCCCTACTAGTTCCATCTATTTGAAATGGAACATGTCATGCCATCTTGGCAGGTAATGTCAAAAACAAAAAACAACTAGAAGGGCGAAAACGGGCCCCCAAAGCGGAGGAACACGAAACGGCCACGGCCAAGCACAACTATGGTTTCAAAAATCAAGCAGCCCGGGTGTGCAGCGATGTCAGAGAATCTTCCCTACATCCCTATCGCAGGTACTGCCACAACTGACATGATGGCAAAACTGCGGCTGTTCAGCCATCAAGCAACAAAACATTACCGTGGGCTGCAAGGCAAGCATTGATACTCAGCCCAACAAAAATTGGGTGTGTCAAAAAAAGCTCCGCTATTGGACAAACAGGTGGGACAAATGCTTGACACACACACACACACACATCGGCTCTTTGGAAAACAGCTCAGTCTGCAAATCGATTGTATCGCGCCGGGAGGCTCGCTGCCAATGACCAGCGAATTGCCCACAGTTTGAGCAACAACGGCTAAGCATGTGGCGCATGAAGCCACAGGTGTGGCAAATCACCTGCCAGCTTCAGCACTGTAATGCCTGGTTTCAACAAAGCGCTCAACGGGATTGTTGCGAAGACCCTGGAACGAGGACGAAGGGGCTACTGAGACGGAAAGGCCGATCCTTGAAGATCAGCTCTACAAATACCCTCCAAATTCAGGCGGGACCTGCGCGGGCTAGCACTCAAGCCAACCCGAGACGGCTTTTGTTCGAGCCATGGATCAAAGACCCTCGGATCGTCATGGACGGAGTCAGGCCAAGGAATTGGCATGTTATGACTCATGAGAAGTCAGGTTCGCAGTGGTTGGCAAGTAGTTCCAGCGTTCGGATGAGCAGATTTCAGCAGGACAATTTGAAATGAGAGGCATGCTTTCGCAAAGTGTCGAGGAGTCTGCAGTCTGCCCAGCACCCTCACTTGGAGACTCTCTGGGCACCTTCACCATTGGAAAGTCCAAGGCCTTTGCATGGGTTTACATTTTGGCAGTCTGGTATGTGTCAAGGTTAGGGACCCCCGGCCGTGCTTCATGCTCAAAGGAAACCCGCATGAAACAACCCAGATGGTCCCAGCTTTGACACATTGTTTTTTTGCGGCTGTGCTACAGTTAGTTTGATGACCCCCCTAATCAATTACGTACACACTTAAAGAGAATTGCGGCATCTGCTTTCACCCTTGTCTAGGTAGGGGGTCTAGCTCAGTCCAATTATCCAAGTCCGCTTTTGGCCTGTGAGGGAATGAATCGTCGCCTCTGTGGAATCCGTCGAAGGCGCGACGGGAGCCCAGGGCTGCCTTCTGCGTGTCAGGGTCCACCAGTGACAGCGCCTCCACCACGGCAGCGGAGATGTTGGGGGTGCCACCTCAGCGGCGGAAACTGGACCTGACCCTAGGTGGTGCCGTGAGAAAAGGGGACCATCTCACTTTGGGGATTCACAACTTTGATTGTGGCGGGGTGGAATGTTGAGCTGTTTGCTTGTTGGCTGAAGTCTTTGATGTGTGTTTTTGTTCTTCTCAGAAGATGCGCATACCGAGCTCCTTGGCACCGCGTGCACCCCGATTGGACCTTCCCCGTTCATCTGTCTACATAAGTCTGGATCACCTGCGGCCACACACGTAAAGGATCTGATTCCCGCGGTCACAAAAGTCCTACTTGCTACTTTCCATGGCACGTCCAAAGGAAAAAGCAGGGCGGCTTCCCGAAGAAGGAGGTTCGTTTGTGGGCTCCATGTGAATTGGCAAAGTCTGGACTCATTTCCACGAAAGGAGCTGGCAGCTCTCCCTAATGAGGTGCTTGTGGCCTGTTGTTTGTGATAGACTGCGCCCCCGTTGCATCTCTGGAGTAAAACTCATGTTGGGCATCTGCTGGTGTCAAAGTTGAGCATCCGTGCATTCATTTCTTTCTTCCCCAACAGCTGAAAGCTTTGGGGTCTCAGCCCAGATAGGCTCCGGGGTGGTCCGGGGCGGCCTGAGGTAAGGTTCCACCAGGGCTCCACGAGGGTTCCACGAGGGTTCCACGAGGTTCTGTGAGGGCTGTGGGGTGGTGCGAGCCCTGAAAAGAGCACCGCATGCTGTTGGGGATATCACCTGAGCTTATTTTGCAAACAAGATTCCTCCCAATGATTCTCATTGCATGTCCGGCACATCCATTCAATCACACACACACACACATACGAATAAGCACAAACACCTTCATGCGTTGCCTTACTTTCCCACTACCAACCTTCCTCGTCAACGCCCACTTTGGCTGTTCATGGGCACGAGACGGAGTACTGGGCGCCAGAACTGCTGAAGATGATCTTCCTGCCAATCTCCTCCCCTGGCCTGACTCTGCCACCCGGGGCCCGATCAGGGGACCGAAATGGAAGCACCTAATCCTCGTTCGCTGCTCCGCAAGGCGTACTTGGCTGTGGCGTTTGAACACCGAAATGGCACTCTCATTCCCGTTGACACTGAAAATCCTCCAGCTCACAAAGGGAGAGTAAACTCGATTCCTGTCGGTTTCGTTGTTGTCTTCGACGGCATTGGCATGATGCCTGCTGAAACCCATGACCAGCTTTTCTTGAACATGACGATCAACAAGGAGGGGAAACCCTAAAGCCCAAAACCTACACACCTCTTTGATATGTTTTTTGTCTTCGTCAGCGTGTTCGTCTTTGCTCGGTGAGCTGTGCGTCTCTAATGCTTGATTTCACATGCATGTCGTCACGTTCGATTTGCTGGTACGAATGCCTCAGTGTTGGTAGTCCAATAAGTAGGATACTCAGCTTCACAGATGTCAATCTTGCGCCGCGCTGAGTTGTGCTGGTTGTGAACCCTGACCGAAATCCCCAACCTGCGGAGGGCCAAACACCATTAAAGCAGAACCCAAACATGCGTCTGCACAAAAAGGAAGGATGAAGGAACTTGTCGTGGCGGCCATGGTCCCTGGAAATGCATGTCCACTTGAATACTTGCAACGTAACGGCTTCCCAAAGAACTGCCACTTTCAAGGAGGGGTTCAATCGGAAATCCATCTCCTGTTTGGACATCTCACCCGGCCATAGCTACCTGGCGCCTTGATCTGCCCCAGGGGGGTGCCCGGAAGATCACAACATGACCCAAGCCATGATAGCCTGAGAAAGTGGCAAATTGGCCCAAGCAAGATGGCACCAGAGTACCCTCAAAACCCGATCACCTTTGGAGCAATCTCCCTTTCGGGGTGCTTTTGGGGTACCATTCCACCCAGAATGCTTGGGTGAGCCTGACGAATTCCACGCGCTTGCCCTTGTTAACCGGTTACTCCCTTGAAACGGGCCCGGTTTAGGTGAGAAACGCTGAATCGCCTGCACCGCAGCATGGACTTGGCGGAGTTGAGGTGCATGGTCCGCTCCACCCAGGCTGTGGGCGAGCCGGGGCTCGATGGACTGGGGCCTCTGCGATGGGCTGCTGGTACGCTTACCCATAGCAGGCAAAAATGCTCGATCTTACAGCAAGCTATGCAGAAACCACTTTGCCTTGAGGATGCAGCTACCACAAAGGGCGCATACCAGAGATTCCCCAAATGCATCAACACTCGACTCGCGGGTGGGTTGGGTTGGTGGCTTGGACTAAGAGAGCGCCTTTTAGAGAAACTGAGTGCCGATCGGCCCATAGGTGACGTTTACAGCCAGTTTAAGGACGGAAAAGGCGGCTCAACGAAATCGACCTGCACGGACGTAGCTAGGCCCGGTAAAACAAGGATTCTGGCGAATGCTACGGGGTAGGATGTGTCCTGGACAATTCTAGCAACTCGGGGTGGGTACCCTTTGGCTCACTCCCCTGGAAAGTCAACCCCGGCCCGTTTAGGGACAATGGGCGCCCAGTACGCGTGGTCACGCGATCATTGTAAGACCATGTTCGCAAGGATAGCCATTGGCAAGGGGCACCTTGGGTAAAGGGCACGCTCATGACCACCAACATACCTGCAGAATGAACGCCTAATGATGCCTGCATAAATTTGACTGGGTTCTCAAACTACTTGCGCCAAAAACATGCTTCCTAGATTTTGCAAAGACAATGCCCCTGACATGAGTGCACATTTTTTGAACCTGGCGGTAGGCCAGCCAAGCAGCAGGGTTGCGAGTGCGAGGAGTCGACTGACACCTGACCTTGGCACACATGGCAAGGCATTTGCCGCCAACAAGTGCGCCTGCACTCAAACCAGCAAGTGAGCAAGCACTCCTCAAACGCTATGGATACCTGATTCAAGAATCGTTGCGACACTCCAAAAGAACTCTGCACCCAAAGAGTGACATGCGAAAAAACTATCCTTGCCCCAGGGCTTCCGAAAGTTCAATAGACACCTTCCAAAACAGAATTTGTCCAAGCACGACGCATGGGACGTGTTTATAGTCGCAAATAAATGCATGCTTTCATGCATTGTCATGTCTGCGTATTCCCACACGAATTTGACACCCACGGTTGAATCTTTGAATGGTCCGTGGTTACCCACCACGGTCGCCCTCCAATATGGAAGTAAGCAGTTCCCTGTTCGAAGTCTATTCAATTTCCAACTGGAAACTGCCTTGTGCCCTTGAGATCGAGGGCCCGGGCGCTCGGACTGGTTGGACTCCTTGCCTAAGCAGCTGGGAGGTTTGGCACACAACCCGGACGTTCGCTGGACACCTTTTTGCTGCCACTTACCCAGAACAAGGGTAGGGTTCGTGAAACTTCCCGTTTTGAAGATTGCCCTCCCCAACGGAACCCAAACATGATACTTTAAACCACCAGCAAAAGGGAAGGACACGAGTCAAGGGCTGTTACACTATACCGTGGTTTATGTGTACCCCTAACAGCCCCACTCTGTTTTCCCCATATAGGTCGTGCATAGCTATGCAATCTTGGAAATGCAGCTTTTCCCCCTACAACTTGGGGTACAATGGGTACACCTGTCAGGGGTATGTTCATGACATTTGCCCATAGGAAAGGAGCAGGGATGCGTAGGGCCGCCTTTTTGGATCATCCGCCAGGATTCTGCGGGGAGTGGTGGACCCTACATGCACTTCACACATAAGCAACTATAGTCTGATTGTACGCATTCCATAACAATAACGGACGCATGCTGCACATGTCTGGAGTATCCGCCCAAAACGCGGCATGCTCCATGCAACACTCATTTGCCGCTTCCCGGCCAAGGAGTATACACATAATTTTTGGGGTTGGGTTGTCCGATGAGTTAAGGAGTTGCTCAACAAGGCTGTGCAATACCTCCTTCTAAACCACGTATTTTTGCACTTCGCCATCAGTCGCAGGCCCCCCGTGTGCACACAAGTGTGTCAAGCCCAACGCGAAGGACACATTCTGGGCTTTTTTGGACTTGACGCCTGGACAGCCTGTTGTCGATGTGGAGAGATGCCCGTTTAAAGCCGGCGATGTTCCAAGGATTTCCATGTTGCATATCGCTGGGCCGCGCACTCGGGGTTGGAACCGGGTGAGTCCACCGGCCGAGGTAGCCAGTCCTGAGTCGCTCTTCGGATCAAGTTTGAACGGGCAGAAGCACAAGACACGTGAGTCGTCAATTTGCGTAAACCGAACCCCGGTGATCTAAGACAACTCATGGCCCAAGGGCTCGGAGGGAATGATCGATAATGATGGTTTCAGGCTCTGCTCGTCCTGTATGGCTCCGTGTGCTTTCTGCGCCATCTTGCTTTGTTGACGTATTTGTTCCAAGCCCTTGACCAATCTCGAACCAACCCCAACATGGTTTGCGGTTTTGCCACTAACAGTGCCCACGTTAGCCTGCGATTCGCATGTGGCTATGCCTATATACTGCTTGCTGAAAATCCGGCCGGAAAACAATTCGTATGGGTCACCCTTAATTGAGCGCTAGAAGGACGCTGAGTGTGGCCCACCCTGGCACAGCCAAGATCATGAATCTACGGAAGCAAAGAGATCTCCCACTGAATTCCGGCATGGGGCCGGCTCCGCTGTTCCTCGCTCCAGCGCCCGAAGAGTTGCCAAAACCACCTGCGCGGCTGGGTTGCCACAGGTTAGGCGGCCCTTTTGCATTCAGTGCCACTTCTCAAGAGTTCCAACAAAAATGTCAGAGTTGTTCCATGTGTTTCCCAGCTGGCAACATTAAAACAGCACGCAAGCCTGGCGCAGGTCAGGCTGGACTTGCTCTAATCATCAGGAATGAGGGCCGCCAGTAAACATGGTTAGCGGAGAACACCAGTGGCCCATGTTGGCCAATTTCCACACTTACAGCTGCACCTGAGCCAACTCATGGCGCTTGTCCACTACACTTGGCCGCCAAGATGACACGTGCTTACCGATGCCTACCGGTAATGCGCCAAAAGGAAGCCAGGCAAACAACATGCGGAACATTGCCAGGAACACTGTCAGCCCCTACTGCAGACAACAAAACGCGTCGCATACTTGGGCAGAGCCTAATCCTTATCGTACAGTTTGAAGCCTTGGAGGGGCTCATTGTCAGTGAAGCTGTCCAGTCATGTCAAATGTAGCAGTTTCCGGTGACCATTTGCACAACAGCATGTCTGGTACCAAGGCTAGCGGCCAACCTGCAAAGATGAGTGACTACAAAAAGATTGAACATGTGAGACCGCTCAGCTGCGATCGCGAAACTTACCAACATTTCAAGGCTGCCATTTCAACTGAAAGGAGGGACCTCCTGCGACCGAATCTGGCAGCACCACTCCACTCGCCCAAGCCCGGTTCGCACACCCGATGAGGCCAGGATCCTCTAAGCAGCCAGGCCTCAGGATGGAAGCAACATACCCGCTGAGGCATCTGCCAAGGTGCGATGCATGGCTTGGATGTGTTTTTGCCTTAGACATGCTTTTGGTCGTCAAACTGTCCACAGCAAGGGCGATCAGGCTTGTCCTTGCCAATATAAAGTCCTGACAAAGACATTGCTTGGATACACTCTTTATGACATGCATGTCAACTCTATGGCTCTGAGTTTCGACTCGCTGCAGGTTTCCCGGCAGGTACCAATTGCAAACGGCGTCACACCATCTATAAACCCATTTAGAATAAGTCGAAGCTGCATGAACTGTGCAACCAGACTCTTCGCGGCCCTGCGACCTCGCAAACTATCCGTCTCCTTGCTTCCTTGGGCACTAACACAGCAGCTGTTAAATGATGTCCCTGCAAAGTCAATTTCCTCTTGAAGGGACCCCCCGGTGCCATGGCAACTCTCGAGGGAGCGCAACAGATCGTTGACAGGACCAAGGCCCTCTCTGATCTTCTGACTCATGGAAGAAGAAGTGCTTCTTGAGGATCTTTTCTCTCACCGTCCTGCAGCTCATAGCGCAAGCCGTGTCTCTCCCAAACTCCCCAAAGTACCTCAAGAGTCAGACCTTCCGAGACTGGGCCATTTTCTGCTGGCTGGGTGGTGCGCTCCGATGCCGTACAGGAGAGCCCATGCTTTCAGCGAGCCAGCCTACCAATCCCAGAAGCCTTGCAAATTGCAAAGACTGCTCAGATTTATTGTGAGAACTTGGCGCAACCTGGCCATATAATCACCGCATGCACCCTTCCAGACCAGTGGCAAATGAGGCCCTACTGTGCAAGCTTGTGCAAAACCAAATCCGGTCAATTATGGAGAGTTTACCGCCTCATCTGGGGGGCTTTATGTTTGTCCCACTTTCTGTCGGGCCCAGCCTTGCAGCCCGCGACATATCTGCTTGAGGATGCGCTAGCCAACTGGCAGAAAATGGCGCTAGGTGGGCGTGTGATTAAGTGGCTGCATAGTTGTGCTGGGCTGGGTTGTGCGCGTGCGCGTGCGCGTGCGCGTGCGGGTGCGGGTGCGCGTGCGCGTGCGGGTGCGGGTGCGGGTGCAGGTGCGGGTGCGGGTGGGTGTGTGGGTGTGTGGGTGTGTGGGTGTGTGGGTGGGTGGGTGGGTGGGTGTGTGTGAGTGTGGGTGTGTGGGGGTGTGTGGGGGCGTGTGCGTGTGTGTGGGCGTGTGGGGGCGTGGGCGTGGGCGTGGGCGTGGGCGTGGGCGTGGGCGTGCGCGAGTGTGCGTGTGCGCGAGTTTGCGTGTGCGCGAGTTTGCGTGTGCGTGAGTCTGTGCGTGTGCGTGCGTGTGCGTGTGCGTGCGTGTGCGTTTGCGTGCGTGTGCGTGCGTGCGCGTGTGCATGCTGCTCACTTTCGTGTTGGCGAGGGCGACGCAGAGGCCAAGATTCCTTGCTCTGTGAAGTCCATCAGCGTGCAGAGCGTCACCATGTCGGAGTTCTTCTTCCGGTGCAGCACAGAGTACCCGCAGGCCGAGTTTGGCGCCAAGAAGGACAAGGACTCTTGTCGACTATGGTTCGGGCAGGCGTTCAATCTGGACGAGTGCTATGAGTGGTTGGAGTCTTTGTCTTTGATCGGATGCAGCGGCGAAAGGGACGAGGTGCAGGCATCAACCCCCACGCCTCCACACTCAACACTCTGATCGCCCGTGGCAAAACCAAGCGTGCAACCAGGACAGCCACATCCTACGAAGGCAGTGCCTCTCAGCACGTGAACTTGTCCATCATGGGGAATGGCCCCCCCTCCAAGGTCATTCTCATGGAACGCGGCCTGCAGGGCCAACACGCTGCTGTGCTGCACCGGAAGAAGAACTCCGACATGGTGACGCTCTGCACGCTGATGGACTTCACAGAGCAAGGAATCTTGGCCTCTGCGTCGCCCTCGCCAACACGAAAGTGAGCAGCATGGGCTTGGCCAGCTCAAGCACGCAACTGTCGGCTTCCTCCTCAGCAGGAAAAGCTCAACCGATGCCAAGCAGCATGACTCTTGACCAGCATGCCCACTGCTATGAAGCAAAGAGGGCACAAACACAATCTTACTAAAAGACGCACAGGAACATAGAGCATTTCGATCGCCTGGTAAAGTCTGGACTTGCCTTTCTGCGGGGGAGCGATGTGGAAAATCAAAAGACAAAGAGGTGACGGCTTTTGCGTCCACAACTGGATTGACGCGCCGTTGCTCAGCGCTGGCATGGCAGCTGCCAGCATCATAGTGGTGGCAAACAGACCTTGGCACGTAGAGGCGGAGATGGGAAGCAAGTAATCGTGGATCTCCTTTGGAAGGTGCTCTGGGGCAAAATTGTCTCTCACAATCGCAAGCGCTTCAGCCATGCGCGCTGCGGTATCCTGGTCCGAGAGCTCATCAGAAGAGGCTGGCATGGCTATGGCGCACAGCGCAGAAGCCAAAAGCCTGTTGCAGAAACACAAACCAGCATGCGCATGCCTGCCCATTGTGCCAGAACTATTGTCAGTGCGATGTTGCATACACGTGTGTTTGTGTGTGTGTATGTGTGCGGTTGCTTCTTCGCGTGCCTCAACTGAACTGCTGGTGACTCTCGGCCTTAAAAGCTCAGAAGCAGCAGGCCGACGAAACCAAAGCAAGCAAGCCCGATTGGCCAAGGTGGCCGGCCAGGAGCGGCAAACATTGTGCATTGTGACATGTTCTGGTTGCCGGCCGGAGTCAAGCAAGTGCGCAGACGGCATGGTTCCCTTTGAGCCAAAAGCCGGACATGACCTTTCTTTGAGCCAAAAGCCGAAGGTATTGGGGGCACAGACGCGGCGAGAGTCGGCGAGTGGCCGGAGGCAGGTGGCCAATGTTCGATGGTGGCTGTTTTGGCAGGGGCTGCAAGGGTCCACGTGGCGCAGAGGCCACAGCGGCTACGCGATCGCTTGCAGTTGCAGAGCACTTTCCGACGGGGAGCCACGACGAACTCTTGCTTCCAATCTCCGCCCGCCAGTGCCAAGGTCTGTTGGGCAAGACTCTGAAGGTGAGCTAATGTGAGGCGCCAGCGCTGAGCAACGCGGCGTCTATCCTGCCACGCGCATGCTCGAGCTGGCCATCAGCATGCAGTGTGTCACCATGTCGGAGTTCTTCTTCCGGCGCAGCACAGAGTACCCGCAGGCCGAGTTTGGCGCCAAGAAGGACGAGGACTCTTGTCGACTATGGTTCGGGCAGGCGTTCAATCTGGACGAATGCTAGTGGTTGGAGTTCTTCACACTCAACACTCTGATCGCCCGTGGCAAAACGGCAAAACCAAGCGTGCAACCAGGACAGCCACATCCTATGAAGGCAGTGCCTCTCAGCACGTGAGCTTGTCCATCATGGGGAATGGCCACCCCTCCAAGGTCATTCTCATGGAACGCGGCCTGCAGGGCCAACACGCCTGCTCCCACCCGCGAAAGATTCATGACGCGCGTTGACTCCTCGGTGGCACGCCACGATGCCCTGCCGCAGAGCATGTTGGCCGCTGACCGGAGTTGTCGGCATCTTCAAGTGGGAGGGGGTCATGACATGACAACCCGGGCTACTTTGACAGTGTTCGCCAGGAGGCAGAGGATGACGATGGCGGGGAGGGCTTTCCCATGACTCTCTCAGACGGCGTGCCTTCCCGTGTGAGGTATGTTGCCCAGCTTGATGTAGTCAATAAGCAATTTCTTCCTTGGTGATTTCTGGCTAACACCCTAGCGGCAGAGTGCAGGGCTGACTTCATTGTCAAGAAGCTAATGGATTATGTGGTGGGCAAGTTTCGCAAGGGTGTTTTGGGGGTGTGCTTTTGGCGTGTGTATGTGTCTTGTGTATGTGTCTGCCGTGGCCGCGCTTGCCTGGAGTTTGCCTTTCCTTCGGTCTCTTAAGTTATCTGGCTCTTTTCCCATAAGCGCGCGCAATAAGCCGCGTGTGTTTCTGGTGACCGCCTCTTATCTTTGGCTTCAGTCTGGCCATGGGGCGAGTTTGACCAACAGTAGGTCTGCCAGGCACGAAAACAAAGTCCTTTGCCACAATTACAAGGTAGGTAGGTGTAGGCAAGTGGCTGTTGTGCGCTCAGGACAGCAGACAGGATTGCGCACCGAATTCAGAATTTCAGGGAGGTGGCAGATGAAGGATCCAACCGAGCACATCCAAGCAGGAGCCCGGCGAGTTACGGACTACTTTCGCTCGCGGCCTCACTCAGTGTTAACTGTTGAAGGTGAGGCTCGCAAGCTTCTCCTTGGCAACTTGGCGGCGGCTTTATTTCTGAGGTTGTGGAGGCTTCCCACCCCGTTCCTGCAGGGAAATTTCAATGCCCACTAGCTGCCCGTTTTTTTTTGTGAGGGAAACAGGTGGAAACATGTACGCAACAGCCGCAGCCGGGCAGGCAGCCAAGTCGCGCAGAGCGTGCGGGCATCCACCAGCGATTCATCCGTCGAAGCCTTGCATGCCGGGGCAGCGGCGCACCATGGACAAATGTCCGCCGCAGGCACCATTTTGGCGCTGGCAAGCGGCGGTGGCTCTTTCGATGCATCAGGGAACTTGATGGTGACCGCTGAGCACGTTCAGGCGTGGTTTTGTCGGACAGGTTGGAAAGAGAAAAGGGTCCCCCCCATCCTTTGTCTGTTGTTTCAGTACTCAGTACCCCGCCAGTGCAGGCGGCCAGTCGCCTTGTGGAGCTGAACCTGCAGATCCGCTGTGCTTTTCGGGGCCCCTTGCCTTCATCTGGGCAGCAGCAGCCAGACACGGACAGCGAGAATGACATAGTCAAGCCTGTGCATGGCTTGGGGCCTTTTGCTGCGCCAGCCGCAACCCAGGCTATGACCCCCACGCGGCCACGAGAGGCTAGGGATGCATCCTCTGCTGGCGGTCCCAGAGCATGAGCCCGTCTCCTTGCCGGGTCTTGAAGAGTTCACGGATGCGGATGACACACAGGCAGAACTGCCTGTGCCAGCGGCGCTGACTTTCGAACAGCTTCTCCGGCAGACAGGTTCTTCAAACAAGGGCTTGGCAATAACAACACGATGATTTTCAAGGAGAAGGAGTTCTTGGATCGGGCCCTCGTCCGCAAAGTTTTGCTTTCCGGCCAAAGTGATCTCAAGCTGAGCCGGGTTGTGGATCTCTACCACCACGTGTCCACCAAGGATGGCAAGCGCCGGAAAATCCGACCAAGCCTGGCGCAGGCTTGGGGGGCCTTATGAGGTGTTGGTTTACGGCAATCGTGCCGGATGTCGTTCCAGCTTAAATTCGCGCGCCCTTGTCACCAATGCCTAATTTCTCCAAGCGAACCCCGCCCTTGCAGGTCAAGGAGGTCTTAGAGGCGGCCTTTCAGCGATTTCCTCGGCTGGGATTCATCGAGCCAACGCCTGCTTCTGCGCGCAAGAAAGAAGATTGCGGAGTGAAGCTCAGGACATGGTCCACGAACTTCGTGAACCAATTGCTGTTCCACAACGAGGCCATGCAGTGCTGCCGCCAGGCCAGGGTGAAGCTCCACTTGCGGCAGGCCTGCCAGGGTCCCAAGCTGCGCCTGCTGCTCCTGCTGCGCCTGCGCCGTCAACGCCGCCGACCGGGAGAGATGGGGTTGGGAGCGCAGCGTGAGTGGCCAATCCATCAAATTGTCGTGCAGTTGGTTGAGCAAAATTCGCACTAGTAGAAGAAGCAGCTATGAGCCTCTGATTTTGACTGGCGTGCGTCAGAGTTTTGGACACTGCGGGGCAATGGAAAAAGTGGAGCCTAGTTGCGTCGGGCCAGTTTTCCTTGCAACTGGCATTCGCGTGCGGTGCCCCAGTTAGCTTTGCAATAGAAATCAAAATTGCTGCCACCGCAGGTCATGTTTTTCAAGCCTAGGGTCTTTCGTTGCATGGCCACCAAGACTTCCTGGTTCCAGGGCTGCTGTGGGAACTGGAGCTTGCAAGTCGCCCACGCAGCCTCACCAGCAGCTCGTGCTGTCTTCCAGCCGGGAGACTTGTCCTGACTGCAGATGTCCTCTTCGTAAAGTGCCTGCTAGACCTCGTCAGGCGGGCGCTGTCTCCTGCCAGATCATTGCAGAGCCCAGCGTTCTGAAAGCGTGGCATGTTGCCAGCGCGCGCTCCCTTTGCAAGTCCAGCAAGAAGTTTTGGT